CAACCAATTTCAGCTCTTACCTGTGCCTTGTCTTCCCTTTGGCCACACTGAACCCTGAGCAGCGCCTCAGACAGATGGCGCGTCTCCCCCACGTGGAACGCCCTATCTGGGCAGGGCTGCTTCCTCTTCTCCTTCCAAGATTTAGCTCAGCTGCCAGCTCATCCTCAAAGCCTTTTCCCTCCCGGCCTTCCTTTCCTTCCCCAGTGAAAGTGTCTTCTTCCTCTGGGACCCACTGCACAACTTTCTGATTTCTATAATAGACCCATAAAACATCACTGTAGATAAGCCCTTAATTTACACTTTTTACGGCAACAAACTTCTTAAAATTGCTAGCACGTAAAACAGCAATATCTTTTTTTAAAGAAGTTTTTTATATTTAAGACAAAAAACCAACTATTCGCAAAAGGTCTTGCTCAATAACAGGTACCCAGGAGAGAGTAACAGAGATCTAAGGGACCTATCTTATCTCTAAGGGGAATACCAGACAGCCTCTGGCCTGATGCCCACCTTTCTGAGTTAGGAACCCCATAAAAACATGACTCCGCATTTACATGTCACGTGCCTTAGGGTTCTGCAATGCCGAAAATATTCCTACTAGTCTAACATTCGCACCTCACCAAAAATCCAATCATAGTAAGTATTCTAATTTTTTTCAGACAGAAAAAGATAAATCAAAATATACTATTTATGAATATCACCTTTGAGATATGTTTCTTCCATGCCTAATATTTCTTGCATCAAATATAAAAATCTGAGTTAAAAACGCTTCTCTAACCACAAGAACAAATAATTGTCAGGTTTACTTTGAACTGAGTAGTAAATCAGCCCTGCAGTTCTATTGGGAAAATATATATATAATTAAAAGGTATACCTGCTAATAAGGAGTTGCCCATATCAGGGGAAAAAAATACTGTGAATTAGAATTTTTTTTAAAACTTCAGAAACATTACACTTTTGGTCACTAGGAAGAGACTTAGGCAGCACAAGATAGGAGTTAAGAGGGCGGGCCCTGGGGTCAGATGACTTGAGTTCAATGTAGCTGTGAGACTTTGGGCAAGTTACTTAACTCTTCATGGTTATTTTTATCTTTTTGAGGATTAAATAAGTTTATGAGGACAAATTAAAGGGTTTAAAAGAGTGCTTGGCACATGGTAAATAGCAAAAAAAGGTCAAAAAAATCATAAATCACGTCAAAATACAAATTGTTATTATTTCCAAATCATCACAAAGGGCTATTTTTTTCCACAATACATAACAAGCTCCTAAAAACTAAACAAGAACAAAGACCAATAATTCATGAAAAATAATCAATGTGAACAAAGATTTTACTAAAAAATCAAACATAAGTGTTTTTTAACTATATGAGAAGATGCCAAACTTTCTCTCATAATAAGAAAAATGCAAGGTAAAACATTAAAGAGATAGTATGTTTTCTTTACCAGCTTTGCAAAACTTTAAGAGTTTGATACCCATTCACTGGTAGCAGACAGCGAAGCAGTTACTCACACATGCAGGTGGGCGTGGAAATCGGTACAAACTCTGTAGTGTGCAGCTCTGTGCTCTAGGAAGTGTTCCTGCAGCTCCATGCATGCGTGTATACAAATAACAAATGACTAGAAAAACCAAACCATGTCATATCCATACACTGCTGTTAAAAGAACTATATGCAGCACTTAGAGGAATGATGCGGCTTTATCTGCATTAATATGGAATGACAGACCACATACACTGTTAAGTGAAAGCAACATACAGATCACTGTATATAGCTACTCTAATTTGTATTTATAAAGCAAGAAATACATATATTATATATGATATACATGCTATACGCACTGTTCTGTGTCACATATATGTCTATGTACACATGTATACACACCCACACACACAATCTCTGGAAGGATATCAAGAACCTGGTCCCAGTAACTGTCTCTGGCGAGGACATCTGAGTGGATGGGAGACAGGAGCAGGAGGAAGCTTACCTCTGCAGCTTCTGAGTTTTGTACCATGTGCCTAAGAAACCTAATCACCCACTAAATTAAATCACTTATTTTTTTAAAAACCAAGTTCCTAAGCACTTTTTTACTCTGTTGCACCAAGCCCTTAACAAAGCACATATGCAGACTGAAGCACTACATATATGTGAGTTACTATGAAAATAATGTCCTTCAATTTTTCCAACAGTCATCTCCTTTACGTGTTTCGATAGGAAAAACTTCCCATAAACTAAGATTAGAATGTATATCAAGAAACATTGAAAACCATTTACAATTATTTTCATCATCAGATTAACTACCATTAATAGGAAACATGAGGCATCTAAATGGCTAGTAATCTCTTTTTTTTTTTTTTTTTAAAGACTGGCACCTCAGCTAACATCTGTTGCCACTCTTTCTTTTCCTTCTTCTTCTTCTCCTGCCCAAAGCCCCCCAGTACCTAGTTGTATGTCCTTCTGGTTGTCCTACGTGGGACGCCACCTCAGTACGGCTTGATGAGTGGTGTTAGGTCCACACCCAGGATCCAAACCGGTGAAACCCTGAGCCACCAAAGCAGAACATGCCAACTAAGCCACTTGGCCACAAGGCCAGCCCCATCTCACTTATTAAAAGTTAGCATGGTCTTAGGAGATAGAATCTTTAAATAGTAGAATTTTACAAAAGTTACACTTAATAAATATTTTCAATATACATTGGCATCTAAAAATATATTATTCCTTCTTTCGGGACATACATGCTTATCACCAAAGAGATTATTGCTATGACAACATAACATGTTTTGTCAACTGATATAATTTATTGCAATTCGGAAAAGCTGTTAATCTTACTAGAAGATCGCTCCATTTTTAAAAAGCATTTCTTTAAGAAAATAACTTCAGACAAAGTGTTAGCATGCACAGGGAATGACTTTGGAGTTGAAGATCCGTGTGCATGCTGCTGCTAACAAAAAAACCTATCAGCAAATTGTGTCTGACATTTTAAAAACTGCTGTAAAGATAACCTGTAGAAACCTATAAAAAATAAAAACGCCTTAGAGGAAAATCTTTACAACTGTCTAGATAATCAAAGATGACTCAGACAAACCAATAAAATCTATGTCTTCCAAAACAAGCCTCTAAACTGAAAAAGCAAACGGTTTTCAAATCGTTAACACCTCATCGAGGTGAGGAGAAAAGACTATACCCTACCTCTGAAGGATACTTTCAAAGAAAAGAAAATGAACAAAGCGCACAGTTGTTCAGACTCCTCTGCGATTTTAATGACAGCCTCATTCTTAAGAACTGTCGAGTTCAGCCAGTGGGGAAAAAATTAGTCTCCTTTACTAGCAAAGTATCTACCGTAGGCACTGCCAATTCCCTTTCAGAGGAAGATATGGAAGGGCTGCTAACAGCTGTGTGTTGGTGACGCTGAACTTTCTGCACTGGATAATCAGTGATCCAGAAAGCATAAAACACACCCATTCTGGTGAACCATTTTATTGGTTCTGGTTCATAAGGTTCTAAAGTACAGAACTCCATTTCCTACGCCAAACCTTAATCTCCAAGTGAAATAAGATTTAAGGTCTTTGAAGCGGTTCAATTTTGATCAGTTTTTCACTGCCAATGTCAAAGTTGTAGAAGAATTCAAAGAAGCACACAAAAATCTTAGAGTTTCAAAGAGATTAAAAAAAAAAAAAGGCTCCCTTGGCTTTTCAAACCAGAGAGGAGGTAGAGGGGGAAAAACAGTAGTCCTCAAGTGTGCCAAGTTGGAGGAAGGAAGGAAAAAGAAAGGGGAAACACTAAGAGGAGGGAAGACAGTAAGACAAGTGTAAGAGAAAAAAGGATAGGAGCAAAGGAAAACAAGCAGGTAACGAATACTACCTGATGGAACTGACCTGTCCCCCAGACACATCTGTACTTGAAAAGCTCATGCAGAAGCCTGGGCGTCCAACTTATCCTGACGCTGAATGACTCCCCCCAGGCACTTGCCTCAGGGAGATCACCTGCAGCTGCACACAAGGGTACACAACGGTGCCTCCTGCAGCCCCATGGCAGCCCAGAGAAGCTGTTCCAGCTGGTGATATTTAAATCCCCAGGTGTAATGGAAAATGACTGGCAACATTCATACTATGATCAGCATATTTCAAGCACAATAATACTTCTATTTTGCACAATTTGCAAATATTGAAAATGTTTTTTTCAAGGCCAGCCCTGTGGGCTAGTGGTTAAATGTTCGGTGCACTCCACTTCAGCAGCCTAGAAATAACCCAATTGTAATGATAAACTGTTAAAATTCCATACGGAACACAGCTAATGATGGGGCAGCCTCTGGCAGAGGACTGGTGGGAATATTAGAAAAGGTTAGGCTAAGGATGTGCCTTTTGAGCTCAAATATGAAGCATGAGAAAATAATCAGTTAGCCAAGAGAGGATGAGGAAGAAAGTATTCAGGAGAGTGAATAACAGACAGATACAAAATCCTCCAAAGATGGAAAGTAGCTTGAAAGGACCAGGGAAAAAGGAGAAGTGTGGAGAACAGACAGTGGCCGGATAATGGGGCTGTTGTATGGGTCTTGTTAAGGATATTTTCTTTACCCTAAGAATAATGAAAGGTTTTTGAAGGTCAAATGAAACATGATAACTACTAGTATTTATTGACCATCAACTAAGTGCCAAGGACTATTCTAAGCACTTCATATTAATTAACCTTTTTAATTCTCATAACTCTATGAAGGAGGGACTATGTGTATCTACATTTTAAAGATAAAAACACTGTAATACACAGAAAGTGAAACGTCAGGCTCAATGTTAGCGTAGAGTGAGGATATGACCTATGCAGTGTGACTTTTATACTCCCTTTCTGCATGAGATCAACCTGATCAAACAAGGAAATCAGTTGCTCTATGGTACAAACAAACCTTCCTCCATCAACCCTTAGAAACTCTAATTAACTGGAATAATAATGGTGTCTGGAGTAGATAATCATTTACCGCCAGCAGTAAATTCCCCCAAAATTAATACATACTTACATGATTAACATTATTAATATCCACCTGTACTATTTCAGACATCATGGCAGTATCTGGAGGTAAATTTTCCAAAAGGAAGCTCCAGTAGTAACAGTATCTGGAAGAGTTTAAAAAAGAGGAGGAAGGAGGACTCTAAAATTATAAACTGTACCAAATCAAATCCTACCTATGATGCTGACATCATTAACAAGAAATTAATAAAAACTAGTGACTCACAAATATTTTAAACATTGGAATTTTAAAATTAAGACTAGCTTTATTGACACAGTATGACTAGCTTGATCTTCTAAGGAGACAGATTATACTCACAAACACAAAATATACTGAAGCACATAAACGTAAACACATATATGGATAGAATTTTGTAATCACACCTGGTGTCCACATACTAACATTCCTGAAAAAGACTTTAAGGCATAAATACTCAAATAAAATTTTTCCTAAATATGGAATTTTCCCTTTTGAAGATGTCCCAATAAATAATTCATTGTTTATTTCTAGGGAAATTCACTATAAAAATATATGCAAGTTATTTAATACAAATTTTCTTTCTTATGAGTGCCTAAACATATTACTTAGAAGAGGCTTGGAGAACTCCATCATTACACATGTATTTTATTGAGATACAATTCCAAAAGTTTTTTAATTCAGGATAATTATGGTCTTTGTTTTTCCTATTTTATTGAGATACAATTCCAAAAGTTTTTTTAATTCAGGATAATTATGGTCTTTGTTTTTCCTACAACTCAACCTACAAAAGATAGAGGTACTAATTTTTTTTTTCAACTGATCCCTTCAACTCTTTTTTTTGAAGAAGAAGAAGATTGGCCCTGAGGTAACATCTATTGCTGATCTTCCACTTTTTTTTTTTCTCCCAAAAGCCCTAGTGCATAGTTGTATATCCTAGTTGTAAGTCCTTCTAGTTCTTCTATGTGGGATGCCACCACAGAACAGCTTGATGAGCAGTGTGTAGGTCTGCACCCAGGATCTGAAGCATCAAACTCTGGGACCGCCAAAGCAGAGCATGCAAACTTGACCATATGCCACCAGGCTGGCCCCCAGAGGCACTAAGTTTTATCTTACATAAACTTTCCACTGCTCAAAGATATGCTTCCAAACTAAGTACTCATTTTCTTCCCAAGTTTAGAAATGTGTTACAATATTCCTGCACTATTTTTCAAGTTAATCACTGGGCAATTTAATGAACTGCATCCATCACATCACTGTATTTTATTCTACATTTCCCCTAAGAAACCTCTCACAACGCCCAGGGTCTAGATCATGCGCCTCTCCTTTTTCCCTGGCATCCTGGACTTCCTGACCAGAGCACTTCCCGCCTTAGGCAATACCTGTCTCCTCACCTCTACCCTCCCGTACACTACACGCTCTGTGATGATCAGCACTGTATTCACCAACGTATGCCCAGCACTTAGCACAGTGCCTACCGGGCCCCTACTAAGCAGCCAATAAGTAACTGTTGGAAGAACTTCCTGAGAACAGCACCATAAAGAAATTATGACCTGGAATAAATTGAGAGAGTCAGGAAGCTTAAAGAAAATGATAAAAAACACACCTCCTTATGAAAATTAAAATCCTGAGGAATTTTACTTTCTAATCCACAGTGGGCAAGTATGCACTTCTTCAATTTATGAAAGTATAAATCTGAAGTAGTCAGGGTGTGGTATATAAGGTCAGATATATAATCTAAATCTAATCCAATTTCACTTTTACTAAATCCTGAATCATACACTTTCAACACCTTTCTCACTCTACCACACCTCTTCTACTTGGCAAGCATGCGTTTACTTTTTTTCATTGATGATTTCAAACACACACACACACATACATACACATACACACACTTCTGCATGAAATCTTGAGACCTAAACATCATTACTCAGGACAGAATGGTGGCTTTCTTTTAAAAGCATGTATATTTTAAGTTCAGCAGATCTTTATTTTCCAAACTATGTTCCGGGAACCCAGCGCAGTGGTTCTCACATACATCAGAACCACCTGGAGGGCTTGTTAAAACACAGACTGCTGGCCCCACCTTCAGGATTCTGATTCAGTAGGTCTGGGGTGGGGCCCAGGTGATGGCAATGCTGCTGGTCCTGGAACCACACTTCAAGGACTAATGCCCTAGGGTACTGTCAATAGATGTTCTGTGAGGGGACAACATTCATTCTCAATATTGTCGGAAAATGCTACACATTTTCATATGCCCTCTTACAATTTCACTATACACACTAGCATATTAAAAATTCTGAAAAGTTCTGGAGTAAATTAACAGTTTTACATTATTTATCAAAATTATTTAACCTTGGAATCAAAGAGCAATCATTAACATCTGTAGAATACACTTTGGAAAAATCTACATTTGACTCTTTAGAATGGTTTCCTTAAAATGTATTTCAGCAGAACATAATTCTGTCCTTGGAAATAATCCAACTTCTTACCATGTATGACTCCTGTCCAAATCAAATAACAGCATCTCAACTTCACAGCAGGCATGGTTCATCCAATCATCGCTACCATTTCCCACAGTGCTAACTTCTGTAGCTTTTGGTGTGAAGCAAAGACCAAGATCACACAATCCTTTAATTACCAATCCAACTAATTAGAAGCTATGCATAATTTAACATTATTTTGTGAAAGCCACAAATCCACAGTATTTGTTCACATTTACTAATAAAATGCTTGAAATAATGGAATTAAAGACCTTAAGTATATTAGGTCAAAATAGTTTCTCACACAAGATCTTACCTGTTGTTTACAAACACGTCATGTGAAGCTGACATGGCAGGCACTCCCTCTCAGTGTTACGACGAGTTAGTTCACTGAGGAAAGGAGCAGCAAGTGAGTCACCAATTCATGGAACTAGGTGATGACATGTCCTTTGACTCACGTTCCAGTCATCTCTCCATTACACGGTGCTGGCTCGCTGCTAACTTTAATACTCATCCCGTTCATTTTATCTAGCAACTTTTCACTCTCTCCTTCCTTTTAACCACAAAAACTGCATGTAAAAGTACATACATATCTAAATCTTTCACATTCTAGTCCAGACAGATACACCTGAATACTGCTACATTAGAAGCTAAGCACTGCTGGCTGCCATGAGAATAGCAAAAATGAATTCCTCGGGGAATAAAAAGAAAGAGAGAGTCACTTCTGAAGGAGGGCATTAGTGAATATTTACTAGGACTTAAAGGATGTAAGCTCCATGAGGCAAAAGACTTTTGTCTGTGGTAGTGCCTAGCTCACTGCAGGTACCTGACATCCATTTGTAAAATCTGTGAATGACTGAGAAGCCGTAATTTAAAAACAGCACAGAAACATAAATAACATGTTTAAGAGAGTTTAGTCCTTTATAAAAACTTGACTTTAAAAGGATTATTTAGACTTCCAAAGGGCAATACAGACCTCATATAATATAACCATACTGTCTTATGTCAAAGACAGAGGAACTACCACTGAAAACTCTGACCCTAGGAAAGCAGATGCCTTTGCTGCTGAGACCCCTCCAGCTCAAGCAGAGAAACAGTGGGGGGTGGGGGGGGGGGAAGCAATGGGAAAAAGAGAACACCTACTAAACAGAACGCCATTCAGGAACAGTATTCATTTCATCAGCCAAATCTGATTATATTTCATATTAGAAAAACTACTTGCTAAAAAATCCACAGGTTTTTTTTTTTAGAATTCTGTATTTGGGGCTTATTTTCATATCATTTTGAAAGTAGTATTATGCTACTTTTTTTAATCATATAAATTATTTTAGTTAAAGAATTTACATCTGTTTTGAAAGTCATGTCAAAGTTGTTATATTTGAATTCCTAAATTTTACTGGCAAAATTGTTACTCTTGGAAATGTAAGATTGTTCACTGAAATCTCTAGGATTAATATAAAACTATTCACTTCAGTTTCAACAATTTAATATTATGAGTATATATTTACCTTTCCTTGTGGGTAGGCAGAATAAAATTTTTCCTAAATTACTAATAACAGAGACTTCTGACAGGAGGCAGGGTAGCAATTATGCATCTGTTTCCATTTTTACTATTGTACAGAACTTTCCAGATGTTTCTCTTTCACTGGTATTCCCTAAAGAACACATTCACTAGGTTTCCTTTATAACCACCTTACTAATGGTAACAGTAACTGAATAGAAAAGAAAAAACTCCTTAATAGAAAACTCAGTGATTCCCTATTTTTCATATTACAAGAAAATCCAAAATCCACAAGAACGACTTCCCCTACAAAAACGGCTTAAACAAATGAGAGCAAGGATGCAGCAGAAGAGCAGAGTGGAAAAGAGAAGAGAGTGAGCAGGAGGTAAATCTGGAAGCAGTCTGGCCCCAGTGAGCTTTCACACACTTTAGAAGACGACCCCCTCGCTGCAGGTGTGCACATGCCGGCACGGACAGATGAGCAACATCTGCAGCATCCCTGCAACCCTCCTCGAACCTCAACACTCTTCCCAAGCTGTCGACTCCACCACCAAGAGACTGCGGCCACAGTCCCCGGCGAGAGCCCCAGCTAGTCCATTCTAAGTAACCAGTTTCACTTATGCTTCACAATGTATCTTCAAAAACCTAAGTTCTACACTCAGTACCCTTCAGCAATTCATTTATCTCTTGACTGGCTATTATCAAAGAAAACAAGAAACAAAATATGATTTCATATTCTTTTCATGAAATTATTTTTAAAATACTTTTTTACACAAATAAAAATAAACTTTTAATCCTGTCCCAGTAAACAACGGCATGAGAGAAATTTTTAAAAAGTAATATCCTTATTGCAAAGGCAAGGAATTAAAAAAGAAATGTTATAACATGCCCGGCTCCAATGTTCAGAAAACCAGAAAAAATTTTCCTTTGTTGTAATATTTTTTTAAATTCTCCACAAACGTAATATATATTTATGAGATCTTGTGAAATCCATTTTGTTTCCATATTCAGCAAAGCACTTTGACATCTGTACACACACAGGACAGATTCATCCATTACAGTAGCCACTCAGATTTACTCTCCAACATCCATTTCAACACAAATGATAATTCTAAGCCACTCACTGTCATCCGTTTCCCCTATTAATGATGGTTTAGGAATGGGAAAGTGGCCTAATTCTTGCCAATGAGAAGACAGGCCAAGCCTGCTGTGGGGATTCTGGAAAGGAGTTCTTCCACGCTAAGACAGAGGCATAATAAAAGATGGTTCCTGTTCTTCCTCTGGAAATGTTCTCATAGCTGAAGGTGGTATGTGGTGCTAACAGCCAGAGGATGAGGCCAACACAGAATATCAGAGACTACAGAAGAACAACCAAACCAACCCAGTCTGCAATGACGTCACTGAGTCTCCAGTCTGTCTCAATCAGCCCTGGCCCCACTCTACCTAGACATCCACTCAAGCGAGATTAGAAATTCCTTTCCTGCTCAAGTCACTTTAAATTGAAATTCTCTGTTTCTATGCAAAATTATTCTGATATACCAATGAAAGAAAACGTCAATTTAAATTAGTCAAATGGACTATTCATATCTACAACAATCAGCATCTAAAATTTTGTAGAAAACAGACAGTAATTTGAACATTACATATAACTTTATTAAATTCACAGACCAAAATAAAACTTACCTAATATAAAAATGTTCTTACTCAAAAGTCTAGCACCAAAATTCCCCCACTGACTTTCCCACTTAACAGAAAAGCTTTTTGTGAATCAAATATTTTGAATGAGGTTCTTGTCCTCTTTCACAATTAAATATTTTCATTCAAACAAACTTAAGTCTCTAAACACCATATAGACAGTAAAAAAATGTTTTGATTCTATAATTTGTTGGATCTAATGAGATTTTAGGAAATAACTAGGATGTTCAAGAACAGAGCAGTTCAAGTGTCACATGGAGGCACCACACGGGTGTCTGCAGTTCGGAAGCTCCTAGGGCGATTAAGACTTCTGATCTGTTTACATGCCCACAGTCCACTAAAGAAACCAGACACAGAACAATCACCAGCTAGGAAGTGCTACGGCAGAGCTGTATACCAGCCCAAAGAAGGGAGCATCTCATTAACTGGGGAGTTCACGGAGAAGGAGAAACTTATGGTGAGCAAGGTTTCCTTAGCTTCCTCCCGAACAGCTGCATGGGAAAGTGTTGGCAATGATCAGGCTCATGAGAATCGTGCAGTTAAGTAAATGCATCAAAATCCAGACAAAAATGGTTTAAACTGTTAAACATTTGAGTTAGTAGCTCAATTATACATTTGATTTTGCTTCACTACAATTTTGAAAGAAATTTAAATACCAAATGAGATTTTGAACTCTAAAAACAAGAAGAACACTAAGATAAACTATTCTTCCATCTGTAGGTTGCTCAGACAGGCACATCTAACCTTTTCTGCACTCCCTATCTCAGATAGAAAATAGGCCAGAGAACTAAATGCAAGGTCAGTACTCTGCCATGTAGAAAGGTTGGGCTGTGTAAGCAATAAAAGTTCTCAGTACGTAATCTCAGGTCTTTTTATTTTTTCTTCATAAACTGCGACCACTATTTCCTTCTATTCTGCTAGTTGTCTGTAAGAATCACTTTCTAGCCACCGGTTCCCTAAAGTAGGGGCAGACCTCCTCAAGACACAGATCTAAAAAACAGCTTTGCTCCAAAATCTTTCCCATAGCTCACAAATGTCCGTCCACAGAACCTGGCAGGCCATCAGGAGAGAAGCATGGCGGGAAAGGGGACAAAGCTAACTTTGCACTGTCAGCTCTCCCACCGACCTGTCAAAGGCGAAGGGACCCATTCCCTTTGCCCACTTTATTCTAGTTTTAACCAAAATTTTTAAAAGTAGCTTTGATCAGAATTCTTTAAAACCTTACGCTGCTCTTCAGTGAGGTGAACTTAGGATGTAGGCTGAGAAAGGGCAACACAACCTCAACAACAAATGATTTCAAAATATTTCAACTAAGCATTTCAAAGAGCTTCTGGTTAATAGGAAAGCTTACAGTATGGCAAACAGTAGCTGCCTGTGGAAACGTTGTACCAAAAGTTAACCTGAAAACATTTCTTTTTTGACATGAATGCTTTTTAACTGGGAGGCAAAAGCATAATTTTATCTAAAGCACAAATCTTAGGAAACTCATTTCCCATTCAAACGCAATCATCGTTCAAGTCTTAGCTGACAGGGAGGTCGCCACAGCACTGGGGAAGGAAGACTGGACCGAAGAGCGCTGCCCCACACAAGCCTTGGGATCCTGCGCCGGCTGAGCAGCTGCTCAGGCAATAATGCTGCTGCTCCGACGACCAGGCTGGGGCTAACAGGTCCCCTACCTGCTGGCTTCGAGTGCGTTCCTGGAACGCACCCCAACTAGTCACCCAGCTATGAAGCCTATGGCAGCGACGTTACAATGAGCCCTAGAGATCCACCTCAGCCCAAATCCGACTGTAATGCCCCTGCTATCACGCCCTCCCCACAGCCCCGGACAGAAGGTCACAGCAAGTCTCATCTGAGGAAGACACGGAAGAGAGGTGGCCAGCCAGCTCCCGTTCTCTCTCCTATTTCCGTTCTCTTTCTCTTCTACCCTGTCCATCTTCCTCTTTATTCTTTCTTCCCTCTTTTCCAATTTTCCCCTTTCCTTCCAACTTATTAATTTACCCATCTATCCACTCACAGTTAAATATGTCCAATGGGCTGGGAAGCTGTGGACTGTAAACATAAGAGTAGTCTCTGCATTCTAGAAGCTCCCAACCCAGTAAAAACCAGACAAGCAGCAACCACCACCGCACAGTAAAACAAGTGCTCCCCCCCCCACAGCACTGAACCAGCACACACACTGGAGTCTCATGAACTGGGGATGGCGAGGGAGGGGAGCTGGAAGAGTCGCTTACCTACCACCCAAATAGATGCACAAACTTACCAAAATCAACCCTTTTTAACTAGCTGTAGATGCATGGTTCCACCCAGGCCCCAAGAAGAAAACACTTATGAACCTTGTCCTTATTGCATTTCTAATTAAATCTGTACAATTTTGCACTTGGATCTTGTTCATTCCTATATCCATATCGTCTAGCACAGTACCTAGCAAATCGTAGGTGCTCAAATATTTTACGGGATTGACGTCAATACCTTACGTGTACTGCTGTTTGTTGAACTCTTATTAATTTCAACTATTTTAAGATCCTCACAGGCAAGAACAATGTCCCACATTATCTTAAGCCAAACCTTAACTCTTTTGCAGGAATTCTGTTTGGGATTAGAATTTAGATTTAAGTCTTTAAAAAGATTGTATGTAACACATACATTCTAGCTAAAATTATTTTTTGAGAAAATTTTGCTAATAATATTTTTAAATCTTTATTTTGTGTTAGTATTAAACTTCAAAAACGCTTAAAATCTTACCTCTTAAGTGCTTACTAACGCTTACTAGTTACAAAATACGTGTTTTCAATTAGTAGGTTGCAACACCTTTTGGCTTTATTTTCGCCACAATCTTCTGTGGCAATAAATTTAATTTCAAAAGAAAGTAGCTATAGATGATGGAACCCACTATAGCTGTGTAACACATAAATAAGTCTCGGCCAGCTTTAAAGTATATTAAAGAGAGCTGTGAAATATATGTGTAAACATGAAATTCTGAAGTGTTAATCCAGTGACACTTAAGTATTGGTTCCAGTTTATAAACAGATTCTTTTAAAGCTTCTAGGCAAAATCTGAGGAATGGCAATGGCATGCCCTGCCACAGCTGGCAAGAGTTAGAGCACACCGTGACCTCTAATGATCTCTCAGCGTCCATTATTCTAATTATTGTGAATACCACATATTTGAAAACTCCAATTTTAACAACATGTGTTATTTGGTTGAAGTTAGTGCTAAAAGTAAAATGAATCAGGTTCTTTCTTCTAACCAGTTTAAATTTACTTCTTTTAATGCATGTTTCTGAGTATAAATTAGATTAGGTATCTACGTGATTTTGTTAACACCTATAAGAATTGAAAATATATGTACATTTCTGACTCTTATTTATATTTTACAACCTGAGTTAAGAATCCTAGGTACAACTGCTCTTTGAGAATAAGTTAGTATCCTTTTAAAAAGTTCTGATCTCTTTCAAATATTCAGAGACAAAGTTTCTGTTGATGCAAATCATTACTGTCTCTTTATGAGAAAAATATGTTTTAATGATAAGGCATTAAGTAATTTAAGACACACGTCCCATTGCACCCTCTGCATAGTTCTAAGAATGAACAATGAACAAAGCGTTCTCCTGCCTGGGGTTTATAGACCCACTGGAAAGCAGACCAGCAGTCAGCTTCATCGATGGGTAAATCGCTCTCCAATCATGACCTCTATAAAGCTCTCCAAGAAAACAAAGGTTGGCATATATTCCAATAGTCTTTAAATTTATCCAACAATTGATATTTTGGTGAAGTTAAATCATAAATTTTGGATTCAGACCATGTGATTTAAAATGTCTGCTGTACGCAGGCAGGTCTAGCACCCTGGGAACACTCCTCCTGGCTTCCCTTCCCTTTCCACACGTATATTCCACATGTGTATCGCTGGGGGAGATGCTGCAGTGCTACTCTGAACAAGATGTGCTTCCCACGCCTCAAAGATCTCACAGTTCTGTAGGAAAGACAACCTATCCAGGCAATTTCAATTTTTTTTAGCTACTCACGAATCATGAGGCAAACTGGATGGGGCCAAGGAGAATGAGCAGGAGAGAACAAAA